CTTTCCATGGTAAGCATCTTCATTCCTTATATCATTGAACTTATCAGATAGATACTTAGTGCAATTTTAAAAAGCAATCCAATTTAATATTAGATAGAGAGAACACCAAAGAGAGGCAATTATTCACGTAATGATTTCGTTATCCTATTTACCTCCCTAGATTGTAACTTTAATTAATTCTTTATCCTTCTTTATCCTCTGGTAAGTATATTTATTCTTCTATTGCCTGCTTAGTGAAAGCATTTTTAACAAGTTTGCATTACATGCTGCAATAGTTTCTGGTCACGCTTGCTACTTCACAGTGATGGTCTACTTTCATTAAAAGTCAGTGCGTCTTGATTATAGTCGGGAGATTTGTAACGGAGGAGTTGTCGTATACCGTTACAAAACTTTATGGTTTTGTTTTGTACAATATGTCGATATTGAGACAGTTGAAGGTTTTGCAGAAAGCGATGATATTTATTCATGAAGCATTCTGTACGTACAGGTGACTCTTCACGAGCCAGCTTTACGAGTAAGTTAGCGGTACATGCGGAACAATGCAACATACGCCAGTATATACCGGTGATGATATGAGTTTTTGCGCCAGAGCAAATTGCTCTCCCGGGCGCCATCGTCTTTAATGTAACCGTTTCTAACTGTCGGTAAATCATTCTCCTTATTATTAGTACCTCTTCTGTGGTGCTAAATTGACCACAAAGTTTTTTATTGCCATTTTATCATTATGATGAATGCGTTTTTATAGGATCAATATGGTTTGTTATCGGGCGCCAGGCGGTGTTGCGGCCTGTTGCGTTTGCGCGCTGGCGCGTAAACCAGCTGATAGCGTGGGAACAACTATGTATATTCCAAGCTTAAAGATCTATTTTCCAAGCGTAAAGATTACAATGATAGGTATACAAACAACGTACACTATGGCGAAGCAAATTTGTATTCAATAAAATTATTCACTGACACCCGCTCAAATAGGAAGATGACAGAAATACATATGAATCAAACAAGAACTTGTATACCTATTTGATCTGGAGTTACGTGTCAAAGAACACGTTGGTATGTCTTAAATGTTGTATTATTCTTGTGTAATTTACTGATGATATATGGTAGGTATGACGTGGTGGACGTCGTGAGGGGTGTCGCCATTGACGCACAGGGAAGAGGTATAGGTTACACTTACATATCTTCAAAGTTGTTTGAAACAATGAGGTGCAGGTTGCTTTGCTTTATGGCTTGTTCACAAAGACGCTGACGATGTCACATGTCCACGAGCTTGTAGACATGTTGACAACACAATTAAGGGCTCAATAAGCGGCAATAAAATAAATTAGTATACGTATGTACTATGGATAGCAAAAGCTTTAGAGAAGTTGGTTGATAATAAAGTTTTCAGTATTATTTATAGTTTTTGCGTTATAAAAGGACTAGTAACCGGACTACTAATTGATAGTCTATGTTCACCTTTAATTTTACTAAAGTTCACTTTGTTAAATAAAGGTCATTGGAAAATAGATAGATACTAAACGAATTTCGCTTATTGTTATTATTGCTAGGTACAGTTAACGTCCGCTGGTTAAAATTATGAATGAAATAGTTCCGTTTGGGCGGATATTATTTGTCTGCATTGAGTTCGCCACCGTCATGGCTGCAACGCATGACGTTGTTGGGAGATATCCCATGATAATAACAGCAAATCCGCTTTAATCATAATTACAGATCGGATGGCTGGTGTCGTTTCCGTTACAGGTTCGTTGCACTACATGTTACGTTTATACTAAACTAGCTTTAGCCCGCGGCTCCACCCGCGTATATGTAGGTTATTGCGGTAAAAAGTAGCCTATGTATTTCCTCAAGAATTAAAGTATCTAAATGGATACAGTGGTTATTGAATCATAAAAACTTTCCCCACGGGATCCCCTTTCACGCCCTTAAAGGATGATTACTGGGATAAAATCTACTCTATGTCCTTTCCCGGGACTCGGACTACCTCTATACTAAATTTCATCTAAATCGGTTTAGTGGTTTAAGCGTGAAGAGGTAAAAGACAGACAGATACACTTTCGCATTAATAACATTAGTATGGATTGTATAACATCAATAATATAACGTTTAGCAAGACGCAACGCAGCTCTTCGACAGCAATAAGTACTCTTAGTTTGTTTAGTAATCATATTTCATAAGAACCATGTCAATTCTTTATGGCTTTAATAAGTAGAATAAGTTGAAGATACAAGAATAATGTACTATTTTCAATATTAGCGATTAAACAAAGCGAGCCTTTATGTTGACATTATCTAAACGATTTTTACAATTTCACAACAACGACCGTGGACCGCGCTCAAATAAATTAAGCACGTCTATCCCGAAGATAAAGTTATTCGATAAATCAATTGGTAAGGGGCTAATTAACACCAACTCGGATAGACTCTGTATCATCGCACCTGCCTTCGATCCTTTAACCGAGGTGGCAATACTGCAATACGAAGATAACAATTTTCCGCATCAAATGAGGTTAAATGAACGAATGAAAGATTTGTTACTAATTATGACGTAAAATTTATAACGTTGAACAATTAGAAAATAGAGATAACAGAAACTTAGCTATCGAATAGAAATAGGTGTGAACATAATCCCATAACTGATTCTATTATTTTATCATAATACCCGATCTACGTGAATAGTCGTAAAGTAATATTATCCGAAGCAGACAGCTAACGTTGATTTTATTCAGTCGTGTATTTATTGATCTGATGTAGTTATCTCAATTATTTATAATATAAGACATTCATCTTACAATGATGTATTTTCAATCGTTGAGCTTGTACATTACGAGTATTTCCGAATAGGTATGTTCAACAGAAGCTTTTATACTTATATTTATTTCAAATGGAAGCTTGATCTATTTGTCTACATCTACATAATACATTCAAACACAATTTTAAACGTGCTTGACTACCTATGTGTGCACAGATGACAATGCATTACAAACTGAAGTTGTATATCCAGTTCAAACAAACTCAGTTGAATGACAACTTTTTCAACTAGTTTAGGCAACCTGTTCCTTAAACTACTTACTTTGGCGACAAAAAAAACTGATGTAAGTACACAACTAGTTTGTTAATGTAAATTCAAAATACTAAACTTTCTTGCTTCTGTCGCATGACTATCATATCTTTGTTTCGGCAATATATGATAATCAACAACATTTATAACAAGAGATATATTCTGAACAGCTCTTCCTCACATTCACTTAAAATCTCTTCTATTAAAAACGCCTGAAGATGTAGACGATTCGAACTAGTATTCTGTGTTGTTCATAGTTTTTCAGATAGTTGTCTAATACTATGTATCCTAAACCAATAATTTACCTAAAAGTTGAACTTGAAAACATTCCAAAAGTAAATGTTACATAAACTGTAACCTAAAAACATACTTTTACTTCGTACGTTAGAAAGTACAATGTGGGACAAATCTGAAACCTCAATTGTTGAAGATAAGTCATATTGATTACGACAATTTGTTCAGCCGAGACAATTCGTTGTGCATTTAGATCGTTCGTTCTTGTGGTAGGCGATCACTTATTTATTTACTTTTAAAAATAAATGTATAGAACTAATTATTTTTATTTAGAAAGTATCCTCTTGAGAATTGTACTATACTGTATTGCTGCAAACAATTTTCAATAGTTTCTTTTTTACATCGCACATTATTGAAATTATTATGCAGAAATAGTATTGTTCAATGAAGTGCAAGTGCGGATGCCAGAATGGAGTATAGCAATCTGCTCCTCCCCACGATTCACGACAACGAGCAGCAAGGTCGACGACTGATTGTAGATAATAGTATCACTTATGATATACTGGCATATTGGCCCAATTTGAATTGCATTTTTTATTGCTGAAATTTTGACATCGGTTTATATGCAGCTTCTATCTGATTCTCATAAGTTTGATTCATATCTTAATTTAAAGAAAAACAGCATTGATATATTTGTTGAGTTATTTTTATTTTTAAATCTCACGTGCTGCTCAGCGTTCCTCATTTTCAGGGTCACTGTTTCAGTTAATTCAATTGGATTTCCCTATTAAATCCGTTAGGATAATTGTCATTTGTGCCACCTGTGATACAGATCCGGCACTTGGTTGATATTGAGAGGCCAATTTTCCGTCCTGCCTTCTGACAGGATGATAGTGGGCAATTCTTGAACGTGCTAGTCGTGACTATTTTTAGACTGTGTCATCACTAAAACATTCCACTGAATTGATAGTGTTGTTTTTTTTTGCGCCACGTACGTCTCGCTTGACTCGACGTCTTGAATGTATATTATAATGTATAAAATGTCTCTGAAATGCTACAGTGACTAAGGTAACTCGATAATGTCAATGAAACATGGATTTCGTCCGCTAAGATAAGACTTTACTTACCATTATGGTTTGGGATAATTTTAATAATGAAGTCGTACACTTCATTATTAAAATTATATCCAGAAGATAGCCGTTACCTTACCACAACCAGAACTTAGAATTAAAGTAACACGGTTACTCGACCTAGTCGCTTGTTCTTACGATGTGTTACCATTTTCCACTTATAAAAAGTAGAATACGTACACTACTTCCAGCTGACAAATAAGGCTTGATGTAAACCCCCATTTCAACGGTCTGTAGTTGGCCAACATTGACTTATTCTGTGCTCTTGACACCTTCATTTATATGAATTAAACTTTGTTTAACTATCAAAGCAAGGCAAATAAACTTTGTACTATGACTTGAATTACATCCCACCTAGTTTCTACACTAAGAACGTGAAATCACTCTTGCCAGAAACCTTTAGATTAGACAGGCGACTAAAACACTAACTGGACTAACTCTTCAAATTATTTTTGAGAATTTAAAAAGGTTTAGATATTATTTCACAGAAATTGTGGTTGGTTAGTATTCATAGTTGGTCTACACACAAAATTCGAATTTAAAAATATATCACCTTTAAATATTTAACTTTAAAATTACCTTTTAAAATGATTATGTCCAGTTTTTTTACGAATCTCAGCTGATGCACCAAATCTGGAAAAAGAAAACATGAGAGTAGAATAAAGAACGTAATGGACTGTGTGGGTCTTTACACTAAAGATTGTTGTCATACGTTTGTATCGCCACTATTTTAGGCCAATTCTCTGTTCGACCTTGTCCCTAATTTGTTCTGTAGATAGAAAACATCTTTTGAATGTACAACGTATTGGCTTTTATTATCAGGGATAATTGGAAGCTGAAAAATTAAAGAAGTTGCCTGAACTTTATGAAGTTTAGCTCACATTTTTATCTCGAGAATAGGGAAAACTGCAATGGTGAAGAAACGTAAACAATGTTGCAAACAAAACTGCTAGTTGTTATAAAATGGTTCCAGCTGTCTGTATTGTTTTGTTGTCTTTTTTGCAACAGATGCATGACGATGACGAGTTGAAGCAGCTGCTTAGATCAGCTATAATTCTTTAATTGATAAATGGGAGTTTATGTTTTGTAAGTTCATTGTCGTTGGCAATTCCTAACGAAAAAACAATAATAATGAAATTAAAAATAGCGAATTAAAAAATACTATACGAATACGAAGCTATAACGAACATTATATTTTGATGGTGAACATGACTTTATTTTTTTGTATTAATTGACTGATACTTAATTAATTGTAGCCGTTTATGCTTTTTATCCAAAGAAGCATCGTAATGTAAAAATAATAATACTGTTACAACATTACTATTGTGCTTGCAACCGCAAACCCTGAATACGTAATAAACATGCGGTTCACCATAACAATGAGGCAGAAGTGTTATCTCCATAGTTTTTGCTTTGTTATGCTCAGACATGGCGCTAGAATACATTTTGAACCATTATTATGTGAATGAGTAATTAAGTATATGAATCAAAGGTTTAGTTGAATGTACTTGGAAATATTGATATATTTTTTATTTACAATATCTTAAGGTTATTTCTAGTGTCTGCGGTCGTCGTCGTTCTAACTTTTATTGCGGACTATTTCTATACGATATAGAAATATATTTATATATATTTTTAATTACTGCAGCTAAATTATAATATAAGAATTTTCATCAATTTGGTATTATTATATATTAATAGGTAAGAACATTTTGAATACTTTACTTATTAACACAGAGGATGAATTTAACTAAGAACTAACAAAACCTTAGTTTTTAAAATTTAGTTATTATAATAATTTGTAAATACATTCTATGCTATTAATTTTGAAACTATTTACAGGTTATATTCGCTATATTATGTATGTTCATTACTAGCCACTATCTTAAAGGCATAAGATGGCCAGTACCATAAGATACACAAGAAACGTAATTCCAGACAGCATTCATTTGCATTTAATATCGAAAAAGATAAATAAATACATCTATGATGTCTAATACCGTACTGGAAAAATCCCAGGTATACAAAGTGTCAAAGTTAATGAATGTGTTGTAATGCAGTCGTTATGCGGCGGCGAATCGGCCTTCGCCACGGCAACGGTCCCATTGTCTGCGACTGCTACAATGAACACTTGGAAACCAGATATCAGCATCTTATGTCTCGGGTCTCCGGTTTTAATATTACTATGTTTCTACACGGGATGTTTTAATTTGTGAGTGCCATCGTTCGTTTGTACAGTTCCGCTGTCGGCTATAGTACATGATCCGAACCAAATTTGTGAATTCGCTGACATCCGGCCGCTTGAACATCAAGTTGTTCATTAGTTGATGGCCATTATCCGATTGTAATGGACAAAATCCAGTTACGAGATTACAAGCTTAATTATTTTGTTTTTCTCAGGGCATTAATCTGACAAATAATTTGACCTTTCTTTTAGATGTTTTATTTATTATGAGCCAAATTACAAAAGGCTATTAGACCTCTCAACAGTAGAACTTATTTGTACGTAGTTTATGCCCCATTTTGCAGAATTGTTCAGTTAACCACAAGAACGCACAAGGAGCCAGGATTTCCAATAATGCGAGGGGAAGCCCGATGGACAGGCAATTGTCTTGACAGGGGTCAAATAACCAAAGAGTCTAGGGAGTTGGAAAATACGATCAACCTTCCCTATACATACGTACAATATTTACTAGTTCTAGCGAATATGTTTATGTTGTTTATGCCTACTCACTTTCCGAATTCATTATACAAGTGAGTATGCCAAAGGTTTTATTATTCTTACTCTTTAAAATGTCCAATAGTTCTATAACAAAATATCCACAATCTGTTCTTTTTTGTTAAACCCTTTCATACAAAATCATATCATCTGTACAATATGTCATATGTCTTTTGATGTGCATTATGGTGAACAGCGAACCGCCCCCACACTCCCAATCCTAAATTGCCGACGAAATCTCGCACCCCTTTGTGTAATAGAGTTATTATTTCGGGCCGCTGATTTGATGAGGATCCCTCTCAAGTATAATATTTATGTTACGATAACTTTTACCGTCATACAACTTGAATTTGCTGAATTTATGTTGGTAGGTACTCTGTTACAAAAACAAAACTGTACCAAAAATAAGTTATTACGTAATTAAATATCTAAACCTTAATTAACTGACTAAAAGTCTTTATGTCATGTGAAAATATTGGCCTCTAAAAGAACAATTAAAGCTGAAAGCCATTTGATGTTCTGATACAAGTCCGTTGCAGCAGATGTCGGGTTTGTAGGTCGTTTCGGGTGAATGATGAAAACTGCGTAGTCTGTTGGCATGGTAACGCCCGCCCCCACGTGGCCCATTTATTCAAAGCCTACTTCCGTATTAGCAGACAAGCTAACAATTTACAGGTTATCCTATTATGTCAATTTGACCAACGTGGGTGACAGTACTCGTATAAGTACTTCTTATAAACATATTTGACATAAAATATCTTAAAATATCAACTTTGCTTCGTTGTTTATGATATGGAATATGTGATACACATAAATGTGTTATAAGTAGACTTGCAACGAATAGTATATTCGGCAGTATACCGAATACCGAATATTCGGCGAGGCCCCTGACCGAATAGCCGAATATTAGGCAAAAGTATTCGGCTGGATTTTAGCGCCAAAAACTTGTACAGACGTGAATTAAATTATGTACTTGTTTTATGTACCAATGACTACTTAATAAATGATTATAAAAGAAATGAGAACCTTACCCTTCTAAATTTTGATTACCACAACAATTCAAATACATAGAATCCTCCATTTTTCCAATTCAGAAGATGATTATGTACCTGTGTTATGCACCAATGACTACTTAAATGATTATAACAGAAATGAAAATATGAATATATACGTAATCGATCGATTTTAATTTTTCATTTTACCAATTATTTCTCAATGACAAAAAATATTATTTAAGTATTCGGTATTCGGCCGAATAATATGTAGATATTCGGTATTCGGCCGAATATAATAAAAGCAGCCGAATAGGCCGAATACCGAATAGTAACGGAATATTCGTTGCAAGCCTAGTTATAAGTGTATGTAGGTACATTACCCGTGTATTACAACTAAATTGATATTCACCTCAATTCATTTTGGATTCAGTTTATTGAAATATTTCGCAATTTTTTTTTGTGAGAGAAACCATTTGATTTCCCTCACAGAGGTGTTTTATTATTAGAAGGTAGCTTAGTCTAATTGCATTTTATTTATTCAAGACTAAAGGGCCCTTAACTGTTCGCAAAGCTGTTGATAGAGGGTTGGTGCCCTAGATGCTCATTAGATTGTCTTTCTGCCATTAAATAAATTATTATATGTAATATACACTAGTTAAGTTCTACCCATTTATGGCAATCTCATCAGATTATAAATATGTTATGTACATGAATGATTACAGATTAAATCACTTTATTATCTAAATGTAGTGATTCCTCCCCAAATACTTTTAATTCGTCCCTAATGGTGGAAGTAATCCTCTCGGATTAAAGAAGAGAATAAGAGAATTCCTTCGCTTATCCGCAACACTTTTGACTTTTAATTGGGCCTCGGAAAATCATTTGCTGAAAAAAGATTTCATTAATCGCTTCAGCGGCCTCGAACCTCCCCGTGGATAAAGCTCTGATAAATGGTTTAGAAACAATTCAGTTAGATATTCAAATTGGATTCAATTTCCAGATAATCCTAACTTGTGGTCTGATAGCTACGTAGACTTCATTATATTTTATCAAATTATTCTCTCTGTGGTAATTTATAATATTATTTATGATGCCTTTTATCCTATATAGAAAAAAAGCAAATACGATACTGGAATAAAACATAATTTAGTAAGTGGAACTTAAAATAAGTTCTGGTGTGTCATTAACACAAATTAATCTATCTATCTATGTTATAATAGATTAAAATTAATCTAAAAATGCGGCGACTACTTTTTAATTGAAAGCATTTGACATAATATCGACGTAATGCATATTTATATTTTTCCCTTTGGAGTTTTATTCTACAAATTTTATGAATCTTTTAACTACAAAACCGCAAGTAGCAGTAATACTTTCATATATGTAAGTAGTTAAAACTCTATGCTAACAAAAAATATCTACGCCCTTAGGTTTGTACTGCGTGCAGTAATTACAATGAGAGTTATTCAGTTGTTGCGTTAATACTAATTACTCTAAAAATAGGATGGGCTTACGAATTCCACAACGGAACAAGAATCGCTGGAACACAGTATTTACATTAAAGTGTGAATATAGTGACATTTTTGGACTTTGACTACTCATAAGATCATCACTAAACACGATATCAGAAGTACAGATGGACCTTTGATCTAAAAAAGAAATTCAGAAGGACTTGATTTTCAAAATTTGCAGTACGCGGGCCTTTGTAAAATATTCATTAAGGCCACACCGATATTGAATATCAACTACAAACTAACAAACTTAAGTCTTGTAACGAATTGTCGCTGATGTCATGGCCTCAGTAATAAAAACTCCCCTCTTAGTAATGCAATCGATACCGTACCTCCATTACACGTTTACTGCAAACAAGGTCTCGGGTATGCTGAGGAAAATGGAAATGCTCTTTATACTTTATTCAG